TGAGTCAACCCTGAGCCGGTGAGATTTGAACCGCTGAACTGCTGATCTAGCAGTAGCCTGCAGTGCTGCATTTAACCACTGCGCCACCTTGCAAAGCAAAATCTTAGCGAGGAAGAAAAAACTCTGCAAAAATGCTAAAGAGCTTGATCAGGCCAAACTGGTGTTGATAGTTTTAGCTTATTGGCCCAAATAAATCATGCTAAATCCATGATTAGGAAGAACCACTGGAATCCCAATGTTGAAGGCAGAAAATAAATGATTTAGGGAAAAGCTTGAAGGACAACATGTAAACATGAAGAAAAAAGCTGAACAGAATTAAGCAATTAAGAATTATGTAAACTATTATTTAATGATGAGCATAATTCAGCCAAGCCACCTCTCCAAAACAGGGCTTATTGTCCCTAGAAACAATGTTTAGTTTGCATTACAGATCATAACAAAAACTGAATACAGTAGATTCCCTTCTACCCCGAAAAACAAACAAACAAAAAAACAAAACCCAAGCATATATTGTGTTGTGCTATTAATATGCAAAACCCAGAAACCTATTACAGTCAGTTTTAAGTGAGTTGTACGAATATACATACTGACAGTTCATAGCTCTGAATGCAAATACGGGATATTATTATTTTTTTTAACCAAAATGCCTGCCCATGTGTGTGTTATAATTGGTACAAGAGTGGAGAAAACATAGGCGGGCTAAAAAAAAATCTGTTTATCTATCTCACCCTATTTATAATGTAGTGGTTATCTAGAGATCTCCTGTTATAAGCATACTGAGTGGGACTCCATGGTAACATTGTCAATTTGAAATAAGATTCAGAGTAGTTCTAAGCATTCGGCAGGCTGGCACATATTCACATTAGCAGAGAGAATGAACCATCCATTTTCTAAATAATCATAGAAAGAAGGTAATAGAGTCAATTTTATTTTCACACTGCATCTATTGGTACATGACTAATTTACAACAAATGCCCCAGAGAGGGGTAAAAGGAGAAAGACAACAGGAAGAGCTGTGAAAGCAGTTACAACAAAATTACAGCAGAAAACGATTTAGCCTCTCCTAAGTGGGTTTCATTTTAAAGGAAAGTGTAATTCAAGCCAAGAGACAAGGAAAATTAAGGTAATAATCATATTAGATTTTCCGAAATATATGGCTTGACAGCTAGCTCTTTAGCAAAGTTGAATTTAAGGCTGTTACATGCATGTGTACACAAACGCTCACAATTCTGAAATGGTTTGCTTGATCATGAAATGCCCAGCCGCTGCACTCTGAAATTGTGTCCTTGTNGTTTCGGCTTTCGTTTCTGGACGGAGGAGGGGGGATCAGAACAGTGAACCATGGTCAATTTTAGCTAATAATGTCCTATATAAGCCTATATTTGTAGAAAACACATCAATTAACCTTGCGCAACAAAGGTAAGCATAGCTCATTCCCATATGGAAATGGACAATTATGAGAACTCTCCTCCTTCTCCATTCCCCATTCAAGCACAACTGAGTACTTATCTTTGCTTGTTTTGTAACAGGATACTAACTTGGTAGTGAGAAGCCCATCACTTCCTTTCCCATAGATGAAAGTTATAGATAATGAACATGATCATTCACACACAGATACGTAAGCAAGGAAGAGGAAGAACCAGATAAATGTGTACTATGTCAGTCCCTTTTTCACATAAGGCACTGAAATGGCTATTCCTACAATGTGTAAAGGGACACAAAGATTACAATAGCCATTTGGGTGCACCCTGAAGCAGGCAAATGTATTTCAGCTGGTCTCTATTATTATGATTATTATTTTAAATTTATTATGACCACCCACTCCGATAGTGACTCTTTCCCCTTGATTTTCCTACTGATTCCTTGCTGTTGCCATATTATTTCCAACTTCAACTGGGTTCCCATAGAAATAGAAACAGGTGCATTATAATAGGGAGGCACCACCAGCTATGAACTAATGAGAAGCCCAAAAGAGAAATCCAGGAATTAGCTTTCATATTCACAGACTCAAGAACTTCAAATTGTACAAAGAATAAACTTGACATTCTTTCTGCTATATATTTTTCTTGCTTTTTGGAGAACTGCCATATTATAACCATAGAAGTCTAGTTGTAAAGGCTAATCATTAAGATCCAATAACCACCTTTTGCACTATACATTTGTATAGAAGGAACAAGTCTAAAATCCGACTGTAATGCTAATCTTCAAATAGCTGATCCAAAATACCGATGAAGCAAGCCCACAAATGCATGAGTTAGCAAGTTAGCTTTCTTTCGTGAAATAGAAAATGAAAAGGCTGCTGAGTTTTTTTTTACCTGTTGACATAGGGGTGAAGATACTTTTGGGAATCACAACCCTGTCTTCTGAGTTTCGGGCCCAGTCAACCATTCCTTTCCTTCCTCTCATGGGGAAATTGATGTCTGTTAGAACAGATGCTGCAGGAAGCTTCTGAATGCTGGCCACTATTAAGAAAAAGGAAAAAAAAAATCAAGCAGAATTCTTGTTTTAGTAGTCAAAAGTATTTTATTGTGGATCTATTAAGAAGAGCGCATGTGTTTCGGAATTCTGACGGTGAAAAGATGAGTTTTATACAGAGGTGGGTTCCTACCAGTTCGCACCAGTTCGGTAGAACCGGTTCATGATATCTACCAAACCGGTTAGAAGAGGTTCCACCAGTGGACCCGGAAAGCAGGCCACACCTACAGAAGAGGTTCCAAAAAAAATTGAAACCCACCACTCACTCACACACACACACACACAGAGAGAGAGAGAGAGAGAGAGAGAGAGAGAGAGAGAGAGAG